CATAACATATCATCATAACCATATCATATGACCAAAGTGGTCATATGTGCGAAATCCCATGACCTCTAATGAGGTCATGTGCGAAACATAACATACCTATGACTCATAACTATGAGTCATGTGAAAACCTTTCCTTGCTAAGCCACATTCGTGACAGATAACTACACTATTTGTCAAACCAAGCAGTGGCCTTCAATTTAGTTATCCGCATAGACTATTATATTAATTTAGTCTTGTTAACTATTGTTCCAATGGTCTCTTCAGTCATGGAGTAATCAGTTTCATGCCAGGCTACCTAGTGCCAATCGCAAGTACAAGCCTGATGTATCAGCATCTTACAGGTCTTCGACTTATCTTGGTCTTCTTGTCAGAGCATACTTCTCCTTAGTCTTCCTGCCTCCACAGAAGGGTCCTATTACTAGAACCTACCAACCTACAGCTAATCTCAGATAGGTATAGGTGGATTTGGTATGTCCTCAATAGCCTCCACTACTGGGACATCCTCTTCGAGTATTTTGCCAGAAACGTTGCATCACCTGCAGCCCATAATTAGGAAGCCTGACCTTGAAGCTTATTATCTTAATGCACCAGCCATGGAATTCTTCCGTTTAACTTCCCAGATGTCGCCAAAGGTCCCCTCTCATATCCTCTGGGAACAGCATGTTGTCTGATGGATGGTGGCAACGTATATGGTATTATAAAGTGGGCTTTATTGATGTAACATTTTAGTTTTGTGATGCAACTCTCGAAATCTCGTGAATGATATGTGGGCCATATAAGAGAGCTGGAGGGGGGTGTTGGCTTTCCTGGAAAATCGATGGTCTGTGCGAGGTTTCCCTACCATGAGGTCTGTGCCCTTATTGTCTCAGATTTCTATATGCCTAACATGCTCTCTACTTGTTTTGATGGCTAGGCTGAGTGTTAGTTCCACATCTCGAGAACTGATGGGCCCTGGCCTGATGTTGCTCTATCTTACCTCTAATCTTCTGTTAGGGTTCCCTACCAGTTGAAAATTACACCTTGTATTTCCTTAGGCTATTGCATGTTTGCCAGTTGTTTGGTCTTTTCTTCATCACCTGTTGTTATTGTACTACTGATGTCGATTGACCATTGTTAATTTTATTGACCATGGAGGGAGCTATACTTGGTTGTTAGTCACCATTAGGTGTGAAGGATTTTATTTTCCTGCTTTGGTTAAGGTCTACCGTGATGTTTGAGGTTTTGTTTTTTCCTTTGTTATTGCATTGGAATTAAGGTTTTTTGTATGCCATAGCATGAGCTGCACACACGGTTTTGTACCATAAACAATAATCATATGATAAAAAAAAAATAAAAAAAAAATAAAAAGTAAGGAAAGAATGTAGACAATAGTCTAAGAATAATAAATGACTTGGAGGTTACAAAAAAAGACAAGTTACAACATTGTATTGAGTGAAAGAAAAGTACTCTTCAATTCTAAGATAGCTAACTAGTATTGTTGCCTGTTGCAAGATATATAAAGGAGTAGGATATCTTAACACAAATGGAGGTAGGATAGATATAAGAGTATATGTTAGGACTTTGGACTTTTCTTTACCTGATTTTTTAGAAGAATTGGAGGAAAAAAGGTATCAGTCCAATCTTCATGCAAGATAATGCTAGAGTGCATACTGTTAGGATTACAATAGCATGGTTGGAGGAGAATGATGTGGAGGTTTTGGAGGATTGGCCACTATATTTACCAGATCTGAATCCCATTGAACATGTTTGGGTACACCTCAAGAAGCTTTACCATGAACATTATGCTCACTTGGCTGAAGATACTAGATCAGCAGATAAGATAAAAGCCCCTCATTAAGGAAGCCCTTATTCATTGTTGGGAGTTGATACCAGACTCTTCAAGTTTATTTGAAAGACTGGTAGAGGGTATTCCTAGGAGGATTAATGCAGTTATTAAGGCAAAAGGATGGTATACTAAATATTAAATTGATATTTTTGTGTTTCTCTCTTTTATTCTATCTATTCTACAAAAATTTCTACATCTCTAAGCATATTTGATGTTGCATGGAGAGTTGATGTTGATTAGTGGTGAGCGGGCAAGCCCTGTTGTTAAGCACGGCAACGATCAATTTTGTCACCGTACTGTACCTATGGTCGCGTAATTACGATCCCCGTCGATATTTGTAGGGGTTGTGTGTTTGGGTCTTCCGCAATTGAACAGCATACCGCAAAAACCAAAAACTGGAATAATTGAGAATCTCCCTAGGACGTTGGAGTTGCCTCTCTAAAGTAAGGTCTGTTATATTCCTCTTTTTACCTCTCTCGACGGGGGCTGTGTTCTCTCCCCCTAATTCAGAGGAGGGAATTTTCGACCTCCTAGCGCTATTCTCAATTATCCCAGTTCTTACGGTACTGTCGACCATACTCGAGTAGTTGTAATGATTTTGGGGAGGTGCCGGTATGATACCTAGTGACTAACCGAATAGTACCCCGCCCCTTCTTCAACCCCACCCACTTAATTTATTATAAACCCGACAAGCGAACTACGAAATGGCTACTGCAACAGCTTCACACACCGGTGCTGGCGGAGGAATTGCTACCCAGGCCTTGACCGCTAAACCGAACAAAATTGATTCAAAGGTACTTCTCAGCGAGTTGCAAAAGCTATTTACGAGTCTGTGCCCGAGGAGTTGCTCCACACTCCCTGTCTCCGCATTCAAGAGTTACCTTTCCGACACACAAAAGGTTGCCACCTACGATGAGCATTCCGGTAATGAGGAGGATGTGAAAGAAATCGGGGCGCAAAAATGGGTCCACAAGGTCTTCGGGCACTCTTCCCAGGCTGCGTCGGCTGAGAAGTTGTTGAGCGATGATCGGGATATTACGTTCGACGAGTTTGTGTCTTATCACGCTACCCCTACGAATTCGGCTTTGGCATTGCCGGATCCGAGGGAGAAGGATTGGAGTAGGCCTTTGAATGAGTATTTTATCTCCAGCTCGCATAACACCTACCTTACTGGTCATCAGCTTTACGGGTCTTCGACTACCGAGGGGTACATCAATGTTCTGCGTCGAGGCTGTAGGTGTATCGAGATTGATGTTTGGGATGGGGATGATGGAGAGCCGGAGGTATTTCATGGATATACACTTACCAAGGAGATCTCGTTTAAAGATGTTTGTAGGGCTGTTGCGGAGCACGCCTTCTCCGAGGGGGGTAGCTTGTGGCAAGGAGGTGCTGGAGAAGGTCCTGTCATCATCAGTTTAGAATGCCATGCGGGCCCTAAACAGCAAGAGAAGATTGTGAAAATCATGAGGGAGCAGTGGGGTGATATGCTTGTTCATGGAATTGAGCCTGAGGATGTGGAAAACCTCCCGAGTCCGTTGGAGTTGAGAAGGAAGATTCTGGTCAAGGCAAGCTCTGTTCCTTTAGTTTCACCAACATCAAACTAACTTTCCAGGCAAAATATCTCCCACCACCACCAAAAGCCACACCTATCGATGTAACCGCACCAAGAGTCCCACCTCCAGCAGTCACAGATTCTTCATCCGATTCATCAGATTCCGAACTCGAGGAAATAGCGAAAAAGGCCAACAAGCGGAAGCCCCCGAAGGCAAAGGTTACCCGAGCATTAGCAGCACTCGGAATATACTGCTCATCTCATCATTTCCCATCTCACGCGACTCAACCCTTCACTGAAGAGCCCACCTCCAGGATCCCGAACCACGTCTACAGCTTTTCTGAGAAAGTCTTCGCAAACCTCCACGCCCAGCACGCAGAGTCAATTTTCCACCACAACAAAAACTACTTGATGCGAGTCTACCCCTTCGGCCTCCGCTTTTCGTCCTCAAACGCAGACCCTACCGGATTCTGGCAACGTGGAGTCCAGCTCGTAGCGCTCAATTGGCAGAAATGCGATGAAGGAATGATGCTCAACGAGGGTATGTTTGCCGGAGAAGGCGGATACGTGCTAAAGCCCGAGAGCTATCGTCCCGGTGGCAAAGGAATCCACGAAGATAAGAGGAGCCTAGATCTTACTATTGAAGTCATTGCTGCCGCCAACATTCCATTGCCCGAGAAGAGCGATTCGCCAAAGAGATTTGAACCGTATGTTAAGATAGAGGTGCACACCGAGGCGGTCCCCGGACTAAAGAAGAAGACTAAAGCGAAGCGGGGGATCGAGTGCACATGGAATGAGAAGTTGGAATTTAAGGGTGTTGCGGGGATAGTTGAGAAGTTGACTTTCGTTAGGTAGATTCCTTCCCCTCTGTCTTCTTTGCCAATGCTCACTCGACGATAATAGGTTCAAAATCCACGATGAGGAGTTCGGAAGGGATGATCTCGCAGCGTGGGCTTGTATCCGTCTTGATAGACTGCAGGAGGGGTATCGCTTTGTGAACCTTATCAACAATGAAGGTGATCCTTCCGATGGGCTTATCCTGATCAAGATTTCCAAGCGGGTTTATTAGTATAGTAGAGTAGAGCCAGCGTCGGTTTGTTCCGAGCCCGTTATAAAACATAGGCAGAACACCATCATATCGCCATACGAGCGAGCGGTTATGAAAACAAATCGCCTTTCTTCCCTCTTTTCTTCTGTTCATTCCTGAGATGTGTGCGTACTGTATTGCTTTGGAATTCATTTTAGCCGTCCAGATTGCCACCTGTAACTTACTTTGCCTATAGCGAAAAACTAGCGGCGGTAGTACATAAAGAAGTTGTAGCAATTTCTGTGCTTGGTCCAGCGCATTGCAGAAAATGTTGGGTAGAGCACTTCGTTCTCAGCACTGTTGTAGAGTCGTCCCAGGTCGAAATAAAAAAGAGATAAAAAACTATTCCGTCGCCGGGAATTGAACCCGGATCTAGCCGGTAGCTTGCTCATGAGAGCGGCTGATGCTAACCATTACACCACGACGGATGATGTTGTTAAATGTAAATGATCATGTTGCATACTTATGCAAATACCCACAATCATGTATTCATTACCAAACCACTTGACAATCATTAAATAAGAGGGGTGGTAAGTATCTGTGGTATCTATTGTAAGTGCCTCAATGACACCTATTTTTGCTGCATCTACTTGGCTACAAGCAGGGGGTTTGGAGTTCGCAGAATTGTTCTAAGCTGGGAGGAAGACGCTGGGCAAGTAACCCTTTGAACTTAATTACGAGTATTAGCAGCATAGAGGAGTTTGTCAATTAATTAGTAGACTACACGCTGCTATAGTCCAGCATTTGGTAACGAGCTTCGGCTGGAGTTGATGTAGGGTTTGGAGGTCCTTTATCATGCTTCGTGGGTTGAGACTGGGGTCAGCACAGAGCGGAGGGAATATTTGAATGCATCACCGGCACCGGTCACTCCCGGGTCTGCCCCCTGAGCACCGTAATTCGCCTTACGGATAAGCGCCCATAGGGGTATCTCCCCGGACTGCAAAGGGGGGAACACACGTAGGATATTGTGTTGTCTAACGTACGGCACCGGCATGCGGGACAGCGCACAGAGGCGGGACGGCCAACAACTACGGTACAGTATCGATAGAAAAGTTCGTGGACAACGGCGAGCAACACCGAACCCCATACAACTCCACTTACAACACCAAAGTCAATAGTCCATAACAGCAATAATGCGGATAGATCCCAATACTGGCAAGCAAAGACAGGTGACTGAGAAGGAAAGAGTGAAAGTGATAGAGAAAAGAAGAGAGGAAAAAACCTATCAGCAAATTGCAGGAGAAGTTGGATTGTCCAAATCAGTAGTAGAAAATATTTGGAAGGATTGGAAGACTGAGGGAAACTCCATACTGTAAAGGGGGTGGAAAAAAGTAATGCGACACTCGTACAACACAAATCTCTGTACATCAACATTCTTGACAACAAATAGTACTACCTCATTCCACAACAACATTTAATAAATAAAATAAGTAAAGGAGATAAAATAAAATAGTCCTCAGTATTCCCTTGAAGTAAAATAAAAAGAAAACAGTAAATCAATAATGAGTTTGATGCCCTTTTCTCCTGATAACCTCTCTGATCCTTTTTGGCATACTCCTGCAAAGATCCATAAACCTTCTATTTGGAATGGATTCCCAAGCTTCCTCCACAGCGCTGATTAGCTCTTCCCTACTTGCAACTCTTCCATACCTTTTGCCCAAGTAAGTCTCCATATCTCCCCAGATATTCTCAATCAAGTTGAGATCTGGAGACTGTGATGGCCAAGGCAATATATCTGTTAGGCGGACGCCAAACTTAAGTATATCACTGAGGGACGTAGGCCAAAATCTTTGATCGGAGAATCTGTCGAGGAAGGCTCATCTCGATAAAATAGGTAAGGTAAAGATTTATAGCGTAAACAATTTTGTTTTGATAAGATCTTATCTACATTGCTTGATGATGTCTGTAAAGCGCGGGAGGCACTTCGATATTTATATCCCACGTCGGAGTGTTCGCGGACTACTTTTAACTACTATGCTCCCGAAGTACCATCCGTTTTAGTACGCAAATGTCCAGAATCTTATAAGTGTGAACACTGTTTGACCCAGAAACTTATCACACCCTTTCGCGGTCACGGAGTGGTATTCCTCAGTTAAGATGACTGCACTATTAGTTATTCCAAACAGCAGCCTCTAACTTAGATGTCCACATATACTATTATATTACTTTAGTCTTGTTGGCAATTATTTCAGTAGTCTCTTCGGTCATGAAGTGATCAAGTTCATACCGGGCCACCTACTACCAATCACAAGCCCGAGCCTGACGTGTCAATGTCTCAAGGGACTCAGACCTATCTAGGTCTTCCATTCTGAGCATGCTTCCCCTTGGTCCGCCAGCCTCCGTAGAGCGGTCCTATTACCAGAACCAACCAACCTACAGCTGATCTCAGAAGGGTATGGGTGGATTCGGTATACCCCTAATAGCCTCTGCCACTGGGGCATCCTCATGGAGTATTTCGTCGAAAACATCCTGTCACTTTCGGCCTATTGTTTCGGAAGCCTAACTTTGAAGCCGACTCTCTTAATGCGCCTACGACTGATCTCTTCCGTTCTACTTCCCAGATGTCGCCAAAGGGCCCCTCTCATATAACCTGCAAACAGCATGAGGTCAGACAGACGGTGGCGACGTATGTGGTATTATGAAGGGGGCTTCATTGATGTGACTTTTTAGTTATGGGACGCAACTCTTGAAATCTCGCAAAGGATGTGCGTGTCCCATAAGGGGGCCGGAGGATGGTGTTGGCACTCTGGTAATTCGAGAGTCTGTGTGCAGTTATCCTACTGTGGGTCTGTACACATGTCTCGGATTTTCATATGCCTAACATGAGCTCCCTCCTACCAGGCTTCGCCTCGAATGCCTTTTATAATTTCTTCTAAATACATTTCAAGACTCAGTTTGGTCAGAGTAAAAAACCTTCCACGTTTACTTAGCCACAGTAGGAAAACATTTTCCATACTATCTTTCTTCTGCCCTTTCTGGCATGTCCGGATTTTCATTATGAAAATTCTCTACAACTTCCTCCGCATTTTCCATACCAGTAGCAGGCTCCCATGTGTTCTCATCTTCTGAATACCCTTGCCATTTGACGAAGTACCACAGTTCCCGCTTCTCTTGGTAGTGACTGCGTACCCGTTTTCTGCAAGAGCAAGTCTCGCCTCTTACTATTTTTCAACCTCCAATTGTAGACCACCGTCAATGTCCTCCAGTTCTTTAGGGGGTTGTTGGCGATTATCATGAACTGATTCGCGATAGAGTTCCAATACTGCGACATGGAATACGGGGTGAATGTTCTATCGCATGGATATGTTGCGCTTGAAAGCTTGTGATCGGCATTTTTTCATGATTTGAAAAGGACTGTATAGCATTGGACTTAGATTCTTTGATTTCCGTTGGGTTCGAATGTTCTTTGTGTTTAACATTACTTTGTTCCTGATCTTGAAGTCCGGCTATTGTCGAGCTTTCGGGTCATAATATTTTGATATTCCTTCCTCCTTCTTTTCTAGGGACCCTCTCGCTTGTTCATGTATCGTCTAAATCCAGTTCGCATAGAGTGTTGCTCCTGGATTTTGAGCTTAATGCTCCTTCATCCACTCTGTCTGTGGATGGAAACCGTAGTTCGCATAGAATGGTGACATCCCGTGAGCGTTGGTTGCGGAGTTGTAATAGGCATATTCAGCTAGGAGTAATAGCTGATACCAGTCATCTTGATCATATTTGACAAACCTTCGCAGGTATCCTTCCAGCACTTAGTTGGTCCGTTCAGTTTGTCCGTCAGTCTGAGGGTGGTATGCTGTCGACATGCTTCACTTAATTTCCAGCGCTTTGCAAAGGGATTCCCGAAATTCTCCTACAAACTTTGAGTCCATTGTCTCAGAGGATTTCGGTTGGTAGACTGCGCAGTCTCCATACTTCTTTTAGGAATGCGTTTGCGACATCCTTGGCCATAGCCGAGGTCTGAAGTTGCATGAAATATGCCATTTTTGTAAACTGATCAACTACTACCATTATTTGAGTGTACCCTTGCGACTCCGGTAGTTGAGTGATAAAGTCTACTGAGATAGATGCCCATGCTGCGCAGGGTATGTGCAATGGTTGCAGCAGTCTGTACTTGGCGTGTCTAGACGATTTATTATGTTGGCATTCGTTGCAGGATCGTATGTAATCGTGGACGCATTCCGTAAGCCCTTTCGAATAGAAGTCCTTCATGATTATCTCCAAAGTCTTTTCTTGTCCGAAATGTCCTGCAATCTTTGCATCATGACATCCTTCTGCGATCTTGGTATATAGCGCCTGACTTTCTGGTACAAATAGTCTTTTCTTATAGTATAGTAGATCTTCAGTCAAGGTCCAATCTTTGTGGAAATCCTTTCCTTCGTCTGGTAACCTAATGAGTTCTTCCCTTCATTGCCTCCAAGCTGCATCTGTCTCGATTGCAGCCTGTATCTCGCTAAAGAATTCAGGATTGAACTGCTTCAATCCCTTTTGCCGGATTATCGCATTTGACATTAGAACTTTCTCTGGTACTACTGAAATGTCATACCAGTGTTTGTTGTCTTTAGCTGATGCCTGCAGGTAACTGATGCTTGGTTTCTATTCTTTAATGATCAAGGACCTTGTCGCTATATTGGTGCTTCCTAATTCTGGGGTTCCTCATTCCGTGTCTTCCAGGTCGTCTACTTCCATCATGTCTGCGGTGTTGACCTTTTTCTACCACTAGCCGAGCTATGCGATCGCCCATTCTTATCTGGCAGTCCTCATTTTTATGGTTGAATAGTATGACCTTGAGCTCACTGGTGTAATCAGCATCGATTACTCTGGCGTCAGTGGAAAGACTGCTTCGAACAGCCAATCCACTTCTTGGAGCAACTCTTCTGTAAGTTCCTTCGCATAGCCCCATGGCTATACCCATCCTCATTAATGCTAGTCCATATTTTGGGACAATGTCATCTTCAATAGTGTACAGGTCATGTCCTGCCGCCATTCTTGAGCCTTTAGTTGGCAAATATGCCTTTTTGCACAATCTCTTGATCCTAATAACGGGTTCTTTTCCACCTCTCCGCTGTCTCAAATTTAAATCCTTATCTCTATCCCAGTATTCTCCTTCATCACCTACTCTCGCTACCAATGATACCAAGAAATTTTCATCTTTCAAAATTTTTGATTTGCAATGTGTAGCTCCTTCCTCAGGATGGTACTCCGGCTGTCTACTTAATGCGTCAGGCTTTCCGCCCTTTGTGCCTGGTCAGTATACAATCTGAAAATTGTATTCCACGAGCTTCTGAGGCCATCGAATTTGATGGCCACTCCAGACTTTTGAGGTGAGGAAGTATTGTAAGTTCTCTTAGTTGGTAAAGTCTGTAAGTGGTTTTTCTGTTCCGATCAAGTAGTGTCTTCATTCCTTAAATACTTCGCGGATTATGAGAAGTTC